TTTTTTAAGAAATTCAAGCTTTTTTAGTTGGATTGCTTTAGTGTTGTGAAATATTTTGTTATATACTTTTAATTGTCTACTAGAAAATTCATTAAAGATTGATAAAGTGCACTTTTCAATTATAAGTTTTTTAAACTTTTCTAGTTGGTTGTTAAGTTTGAAAATTTTTTTATGGTTGAAATTTATCTCACAATTTAACAATTTTGTACTTAGCTGATTTGTAACTCTAAATGTTAAATCCTGTGCTTGGGATTCCTGTCTGAACACAAGGTTTTCTATAGGTTTTGTTGCTTCTTTTAAATGTTTTGGTTGTAGTCCTAATCTGCGGCAATTTAGTAGGAATTGTTTCCTGTTGATTTCTTTCGCTAGGTGTTTTTTGGTTTTAGCCCAATTTTTCAAACATGAGACTGCGTCTTCACCATATTGATGACGTATGGTGTCATAGAAATAAAAATTTTCTAGTAGACAATTAAAAGTATATAACAAAATATTTCACAACACTAAAGCAATCCAACTAAAAAAGCTTGAATTTCTTAAAAAAGATTTCCATAACAATTTTTTAAAAACCAAACCAAATTGGATAAAAAATCTTAGTAATGTTGACATCCCTAAAGATATAGAACAACTGTTAGCACTAGGTCCTAAGTTTAGTATAGAACCCAGAGTAGGATATGACATTTCAATCAGAAGTATTTTAACTGATATAGAATTAGTGGCATCATCAATATCAAATTTGTCAGATAAAAACATAGCTCGAGCTAGGGTAACTAATGTTTTGACTAACTACATCTCACACAATAAAAAATCTTCCAACTATTTTCATCATTTATTAGATAAAACTAAAAAATTCTTAAAAAATCACTCTGAACTTATAGTCACTAAATCAGACAAAGGTAATGTTACAGTAGTTATGAACAAAACTGATTATCTAGAACTGTCTAAACAACTTATTAATAACAATGATTCATATCACACATTGAGGTCTGATCCTACTCAGTCTATACAAAGACAAAGTAACAAGTTAGTCAAGATGTTATTTGACAACAAACAAATTGATGACACTGCAAAGAAAAAACTTAATTCATATAAAAACTTCATTGTGTGAGATGTAGTTAGTCAAAACATTAGTTACCCTAGCTCGAGCTATGTTTTTATCTGACAAATTTGATATTGATGATGCCACTAATTCTATATCAGTTAAAATACTTCTGATTGAAATGTCATATCCTACTCTGGGTTCTATACTAAACTTAGGACCTAGTGCTAACAGTTGTTCTATATCTTTAGGGATGTCAACATTACTAAGATTTTTTATCCAATTTGGTTTGGTTTTTAAAAAATTGTTATGGAAATCTTTTTTAAGAAATTCAAGCTTTTTTAGTTGGATTGCTTTAGTGTTGTGAAATATTTTGTTATATACTTTTAATTGTCTACTAGAAAATTTTTATTTCTATGACACCATACGTCATCAATATGGTGAAGACGCAGTCTCATGTTTGAAAAATTGGGCTAAAACCAAAAAACACCTAGCGAAAGAAATCAACAGGAAACAATTCCTACTAAATTGCCGCAGATTAGGACTACAACCAAAACATTTAAAAGAAGCAACAAAACCTATAGAAAACCTTGTGTTCAGACAGGAATCCCAAGCACAGGATTTAACATTTAGAGTTACAAATCAGCTAAGTACAAAATTGTTAAATTGTGAGATAAATTTCAACCATAAAAAAATTTTCAAACTTAACAACCAACTAGAAAAGTTTAAAAAACTTATAATTGAAAAGTGCACTTTATCAATCTTTAATGAATTTTCTAGTAGACAATTAAAAGTATATAACAAAATATTTCACAACACTAAAGCAATCCAACTAAAAAAGCTTGAATTTCTTAAAAAAGATTTCCATAACAATTTTTTAAAAACCAAACCAAATTGGATAAAAAATCTTAGTAATGTTGACATCCCTAAAGATATAGAACAACTGTTAGCACTAGGTCCTAAGTTTAGTATAGAACCCAGAGTAGGATATGACATTTCAATCAGAAGTATTTTAACTGATATAGAATTAGTGGCATCATCAATATCAAATTTGTCAGATAAAAACATAGCTCGAGCTAGGGTAACTAATGTTTTGACTAACTACATCTCACACAATAAAAAATCTTCCAACTATTTTCATCATTTATTAGATAAAACTAAAAAATTCTTAAAAAATCACTCTGAACTTATAGTCACTAAATCAGACAAAGGTAATGTTACAGTAGTTATGAACAAAACTGATTATCTAGAACTGTCTAAACAACTTATTAATAACAATGATTCATATCACATATTGAGGTCTGATCCTACTCAGTCTATACAAAGACAAAGTAACAAGTTAGTCAAGATGTTATTTGACAACAAACAAATTGATGACACTGCAAAGAAAAAACTTAATTCATATAATAGCATTTCACCCAAATACTATTCTCTACCTAAAATACACAAACCAACATTATCTGTTAGACCTATAGTATCATCAATAGGAGCTCCTACTGAGAACATTGCTGGTTTTATTACTGAAATCCTAACCTCTGCTTATGATTGTAATAATGATTACTACATAAAAGATTCTTTTGAAGTTAACAATAAATTTAATAGATTACAACTACCTCAAGGTTATGTGTTGGTTAGCTTGGATGTGGTTTCCCTATTTAGTAACGTTTATCTTGAAGCTTGCATCAGATCATTAAATAAACATTGGTCAGAAATTAGTAGACATTGTACAATAGATAAAGATATGTTCATAAACTTAATCACCTTCTTATTCAATAATACCTATTTTTCTTTTGACAACACATACTACAAACAAACTTTTGGAACACCAATGGGAGCAAAAATTAGCCCCATTCTTGCTGCATATGTAATGGATGACCTGTTAGACACAATCATTCCAGTACTACCTTTCAACCTTTTCTTTTTAAAGAAATATGTAGATGACATGATCTTAGCTGTACCCAACAATATGATAGATGAACTACTATTTATATTCAATAGCTACGATCCTTACATACAATTTACCATGGAAGTCGAAGATGAAAATCAATCTATTCCTTTCTTAGACACTAAGTTAATCCGCTCAAATGATAACATCATTATAGTCGATTGGTACACAAAATCAATGAGTTCAGGCAGGTACATTAACTACATGTCCTATCATAAACACTCCACCAAACTAAATTTAGTAAAACAAATGAAAAATAGGGTTCTACTAATTTCAGATATATCATTCCATCAAAAGAATCTCAAAATACTTTATGATCTCTTTATAGATAATTCCTATCCACCTCTTCTTTTAAAAACACTTTTATATAATACTACATCAGTAACATCTATCAATCTAACTACCTCCCAACATTCTAACATAGCAAGTACAAATTCACATAATACGGTTACCATTCAAACCCTTCCAACATATTGTGTGCTGCCCTACATACGGGAACTAACACCAAAACTAACTAGAATCTTTAAATCATATGATAACATCAAAATAGCCAATAAAACAGTTTTAACAGTAAACTCTATTTTCTCAAAAATGAAAGATCGTACTCCGCATGACCAAATATCTAATGTTGTTTACAGTATTCCTTGTATGGACTGCAATGGCAAGTATATCGGCCAAACCTCTAGACGTCTTAAAGACCGTGTTACCACTCACAAAAGTGACTGTAGACTTTACCAGATAGATGCACCCTAGCCAACCACGTTCACACCCAGAACCACAGAATGAATTTTGCAGATGTCAAAATCCTCGAAAAAGAAACAGCTTATAAGAGAAGACTTTTTTTAGAAATGACCCACATAGCAACAACAGATAATATAATCAACACCAAATCAGATATACAACACCTTAGTGAAATTTATTCCTTTCTACTACAGTTGGAAACAAAAAATAATCAAGTCAACGAACTGGAATATTCTGAATAGTATAATATTGTCTATTAAAACTCTTCTGACCATCCAATAGAAGTAGTAACCTAATCATTATTATTGCAATTGTTGCATTTTTCCAGGAAATAAAATTCTTACGAGTAATAACAACAATTAAAATAACTTTAAAAGAAATAATCACAAAGAAATAAATAAATTCTATATATATTTATTAACAACAGAAATTAATTGTCTTAAATTAACATAACATAATTTTCAATTAAATGTAACTTTACACATGAACTGAACACAGCTTTAGTTTTCTGGCTGACATCTACTAATATGATAGCTGACAAGACACTTTAACCTTGAGGTACACACTAAATTTTCACCTCCTTGTGCATAGGTGAATAGACTGGTCCAAAAAATGACAATGTGATATGTAGTTGTGTTTTAACTGTTTTGTTTCTTAAATGTTCAATGTTTTTTAATATTTGTATTGTACTATCACACTGGAGAAAAATAACAAAAATGCACTTGTATTGTTTGAGTTTTCAAGCCACCATATAACACATACAACTTATATTTTTTTTTGCTTTATAAAAAAATCTTCAAAAAAGTTTTTCAACATGGAACTTTCAAATACCACTTTTGCCTGCAACCTCACACAAGTAAGTGTTTCACTACATCTTATGTAAAATACACAATTTCACCATTTTGTAACATATTGTAGCATTCGTCTGAAGATGTTAAAGAAATTTAACGAAATATAACGAAGTCGTTGAAAAGAGCACACTTTGGCTTTCATTATTCAGCTGCTAACCCAATTAACCTTACCATTATACTAATTAATAATTGGACAGCTGTGATCATTCTTCCTTTATATATATATATATATATATATATATATATATATATATATATATATATATATATATAGTTTTGTTATTGTTTACATATTGTCCGGTTAATAGTCGAAAGTATCAACATATTAAATAAAATAGTAAAATGAATTTAAAAATTTATTCATGTAACTAAGGATGAAAAGGCACATCGATTGCAACTGCCGTCATCTAAATCAAATTTTACATACCTTTTAATCGATACTTTGGCTTCAGCATATGTAGATAAAGCTCTTGGGAAGAACATGGCAAAAATCAATTGAACAGTGTTTACAAGTTGAGCCATTGAAAATACAATATCCCCTGATATTCTTCCTTCCATTAGTACAAATGTTATTACCACAATAAATAACGCAAAACGTTCAGTAAACACAGACATTGACGATAGCATACCATGAATGTAAGATGATTTTGTGATACTATCGATTTCCAACCTAAAATAAAAATTATATGAGAATATCAATTCAAACTTATACAGCAAAAAATTAAAATTCGCAAACATGGAAAGAGTGTGGTTTTATTGACTTTATTTGCTTAGAAATCAATCATCCTTATTGTGACAAGAATTTCATATCTGAAAAATAATAGATGTGCAAAATTTTACTTCCGCTCTTTTTTGGACATTATTGATTCAAGTGTCAGAGATAAATAGTTTTCAAGATCTCAAAAAACCATTAAGTTGCCATAAGTAAACCATAAATGGCCCTTGTTATACGTATCATGGATTGAAAATAATGTCTGCATTAATATTATCGACAAAATATTTAACACACTATCCTTCTTTGTAACAAACAGAAAGCGACATTAATTCACTGAAATAACATTGAATCATTCACGTGATTTTTACAAGATACCTACAGTTGTTTATAGAAACTACGTGTTTAACTTTCAGTTAGTAAACAATTTTCTTAAAAAATACGACTAGGAATGATATCGATTGCACAATAGTGTTAAAAGATGATAAAAAATCAAGAAACTACGTAAAAATACATAAACCAGTCCTCAATATATCGTTTAGGGTGTTAAGATACTATAAAAACAATATTATACAATAATATACAGATCTAATATAAACTATTATTATACATACCTCCTAGCTAGTTCTACAACTTTCTCAAAAGGTTTTTCCCAAGCATACATTTTAATTACTTGAATTCCTGACGTTATTTCACTCATAAGTTTAATTCTTGTGTCTGTCCTAACAGCAATTTTTCCTCGTAATTGTCCTTGCAGTCTTGATAGGTAACCTACAAAATATGATAGTTAGCAATCGTATATAACAATAACTTTGTTTTTTAAAAGAATTCAAAGCTATTCCATGACAACATTAATCACGTTCACAGACATGTCATGCCTAGGTGTTTCCATTCCCCATTTAAGTCTTTTTTCTATTCTACTGCTTCCATGATCTTACAACTCAGCAATTATTCGTATTAAGTAACAGAAAACAAAATCTAATTTTAATGTTGTGTATTTTACTAAAATAAGATTGTTCTTTGGTTCTTTCAAGAAAACTATTAGTAAAAAGTAAGTCACGTGAAAATCTGTTAGTTATCTGGTTATTAGCTAACATGAAAATTCGACGGTTTTAGTAAATATCGAAGAATCACTATTACACACTAAAAGTGAGGATTTTAAAAAATCAGTGGGAAGTGATTAAAGAGGATTAAAGAGGTGTTTAGTTGATGTCAAATTAAAAAAATAAGTTCAAGTACAAATCAAAATGTCATATAGTGTCTTCTTTACTATCTTTAATGGAAACAACTTCAGTTCAGTTAAGATATTGTCAATATTTTTAAGGTGTGTTCCTGGAACGATTTTATTGATTATTAATCAACTTTAATTTGAAAATACCCGTCAGAAAAATCATATCATGTGGTTTGTCCGTAAAAAGAGAAAAACACAGACTCATTACTAACTCCATCGTATATCACGAGGAAAAACCAGGAAAAAAACTCATGATCCCTGTAGTGAATAAGGAGTTGGCTCATCACTAGGATCATAATGCTCTCACTAGGCATGCTTCTAAATACTTGTCGTACGATTCTTAGATCATTATTATAAATTGTATAAAGGCATTTTAAAATAAACTGGCAAAAGGAATAAGCGATGCACCCATAATCCTGATCAATGATTTGTATACTAAAAATATTATATCTTGGTCAGAGCCTTATTTCTTGATTGATAATGTTTTTTAAAATATTTAATCTCTTATGACAAGTTAAATGTAATTGCTTTATATGTTCTTTCCATATTAGTTCATTGTTGATCATATGGTACCCAGACGAGCCTAAAGTACCTTTCCAAGTGGACACCTGCCCACGAGTGGAATGGAACAGAGCAAACGCTTGACCCAGACAAAAATTATACCTGGTACACAGACGTGTCTAAGTTCAGTAATGGTGGAAATTTAACCATTTACATTTTGTTAAAGATTTTTATAATATTGCAGTGTGTAAGAGAAATTAATATAAGCACTTTCGAATTGAAGTGAATCAATATATGCACAGCTAGTTAGGGCATCGGAGTTAGGGCACTAGGGTTCTAGGTCATCGGAGAGTACACGAGAATGAAAGAACTGATGAACTTGCCAGAACAGCACCAGTTACAAAATCGACGGAATAAAAGCGCAACCGAAAAAAAGCCTGGATCCAAAGGTAAAATATCTCTCACTGGGGAAACATACCCCGTCAAACACATGGTGAAATTGATATTGGACGGACATGTGTTAATAAGGATGAAGTGTGAAAATCAATCAGTAATTAGCTCAGCGTCATATTAGGCTTCTTTACTGGACCTGCATAAAATTGAAGTGTTTAACGGAGACTAAAACTGCAGACTCTGTAGCAGAGGACCAGAATCAGTCAACCATATCCTGCATGACTGCATGCTATTAGATCGCATGCGGCAAAACCTTTTCAAAGACTATCAAGTAACTACAAAAACATATATTATCCATCTTCTAGACATTTACGAGCTAGTACAGGATTCCAGAATCCTGAAATTGGTCTTATGAGTGACTGGAAGAAGTACAATAAGCCAACTGTTCCGATATATAATACTTGTAAGCATATGCAAACTTTTAGATATTAAATGTTTGCCGCTTAAATGTGAAGCCGATGTTGTGTGTCTCTCTTTAATATTGACCCCCGGAAGGAGTGTAGTGGTCATCGTGATGTCGTGTATTGTCCGTCATCTCTTTAAACTCATATGCATTGATCTTTTGCATATGCCTATAATTTGATCGATCCATCTTGTTGGGGATCTTCCTCATGATCTTCAGCCTTTTACCTTTCCTTGGATAACAAGTTTTGCCATTTTTTCGGTGTCTGTTCTCATAACATGTCCAAAGTATTTCACTATTTGGGGATGGACTTTGCTGGGAAACTGTTTGCTCATTTAAAATTAAAATATTTATCCTGTGATCGATCTACGAATTCCGTGGAACGTCCACAGGTGTTCTGTGCGTACGATATTGAAAACAATCGTTTATGACATAAAATTTACAAAACTATGTTAAATGTAAATTTTATCAATACTTACTTTGAAGAGGAAGTGCTTCCAGTATTACTGCACCCATTCCTGTAAGCGCAGCTACAAGATTGCACGTTCTGTACATAATGTAAAAAGATATCGCACTGTTAATGGGCATTACCCAAATGTAATGTAGGAACACCGCAGCGTAATCAAACCTCTGTAAGTCGTTGGATAAAAGATTGACTAGTTGTCCCGCTGCCGTTTTACCAAGTGATGTGTGATTTAATTTTAACAGCTAAAAAATATTTACTGATCAATATCGTTAAATGTATACTGTGTCGAATTGAAAATGCATTTTCCAATAAACATCAAAATATTTTTAAATATTATATATATATATATATATATATATATATATATATATAATATATATATATATATATCAAATTATTAAATTTTCAAATATCTGTTTCTGTTTATATATGAACATGTTGATCACAATAGTTGATTTTTTGGGTTTATTTCACATGTAACATAATTAATGTCACGTAAAACGATATACATTGACTGGTTTGTTAATATATATATATATATATATATATATATATATATATATATATATATATATATATATATAAATTATGAGTGTACTACATACATGTACATTACATTAAATAAATCTACTCTATTATAATGTTTCCCGCGTAAGTTCCTAATGCATTCTTAAGTATATAGGAACCCTGATATCGTGGTCTGGGCTATAACTAGGTAACTCGCAAAATTTGTGGTTTTGAGTTATCTAAGTTAAAAGGTAGTTTGTACTGCAATGCTATAAGTGGACAACTGAATGGACGATAAAATAAGTTTCAAATAATTAGAAGGAGTGATACGCTATTAAGAGAAAGTGCTATACCAAAGTAGTGGTAAGCTGTATTAAGAGAAAGTGCTATACCAAAAATATTTCCAGGACTTCAAAAATATTTGACAAAGCAAAAAGATGGTGCTAAAAGCAGCAATCCTACGAAAAGGCGAGAGGTAATTATAAATAGGTTGCAACAACTACGAGACATTTAAGAATAGGAGAATATAATAATAACAGGTTGTCAAAAAGTGGCGGAAACAGTTTTAATTAAATTAATGGCAATTAATTTTTGAACAAAAATTTGGATATTTTATTTTTTAAATAAAATACGCGGTTCATGACGTATATGCGTGTTTTTTATATCAAATTAAAGCTGTTTTTTAATATGCTGATATAAGGTTGTCTGTGTCTGTTGTCGCAAATTAGGGTTGCCACCTACTAAAATCGAGAGTTATCAAAGATAAAGTGAAAGGAAGGTTGATTAAAGTAAAGTTTGCATTTCAGAAAAATGAAAAAGTGTATTAAATGAAATGTAATGACATGTTTCGCAAAACAGGAACACATAAAACAAAATAGGTATATCGATGGAAGGCAACCGTATGTCGTATTTCTGACTATTGGTCTTCTTCAGTACGGTTCTAAGTTGTTGCATCTTCAACAGGCTTACTCTTGTGAGGATGTTACTGTATAGTTTCCATGTCTCTTCTATTTGTTATACGCATTTTAGGTTAGTTTGCCAGAGGAAGTGCCTATACTTATGCAAACCTTCATCGCACATTTTGACATAATATGTAAAAATGTTTCGTTTATACTTATTAAACAAGCAAACTAATTAAGAAGGAAAAAACCAAACACAAATAATTTTTTTTTTATTTCATTTGAACTTGGAATAATCCCTCTAATCTGTGTAATTTTTATAAGAACTTATATAGTTGTTGTTTTATTCATTAAAAGAAGATTACTGTATATAGATATACTGTATAAGATTTTCAATGCCTTCTTTTTTGTTGAAGGTGTTTTGTGTAGTTTTAATTAAACGCATTTCTAGAAACAGGCTTTTGTTGTAATTATTTTCCCTTCTCAATATTTCTGCTTGATCATAGTTAGGCGTATGGCCTGTCGTAATAGAATGTTCACTTAATAATGCACAAGCTTATACTTTATTTAGATTAAAGTCACTCTTGTGCGATGTTAAACTTCCGGACAAATTTATGGACGTGTCTCCAATATATACTTTATTGCAATTATTACCGGGTAGAGAGTACACCACATTACGGCTTTTTTTAATATTTAAGGGCGTCTTTAGTTTGGTGCGTAATTTCGATATCGTTTTTATATTTCTGGTTCCAATTTTGATATTGGGTAATTCTGTAAATGAATTTATCAGTCTATTGGTTAAACCTGGAATATATGGCAAAGAGTAGTACAACGTATTTGGGTAGTTTGTTAAAACCTCTGTTTGATCTGGCGGTATGACTTGTGAGACACTAAAAATAAGTTTATTCAGAAGGTTCGCTGGGAATGAATTCTCGAACATGATCATTTTTAGTTTTTTAATATTGGCTGTTCTATATTCAGGATGTGACAAAGTTATAACCCTACTTGCCATATTTAATACTAGGTTGATCTTCATTGTATATGGATGTGCTGAAAAGTAATTAATAAACCTGTTGCTACATATTGGTTTTCTGTACAATTCTGTTTTTAGAACGTTGTTTGAATCACGGTGTAACATCATATCTAGAAATGGTATGCAGTTGTTGTTTTCTTATTATACTGTAAATTGCAAGTCTGAGCAATGACTGATAAATATGTGTGTCCATTATTTTGTATTTTGGAAGTGCAAGAATTAAATCATCCATGTATCTCTTTAACAATGGGACATTACATGGTAACTTACTAATGCACCTTTCAATTAAGTCATCCAGTACAAAGTGGCATTGAAATTCGCAGATGACATTGTCCTTATAGCTGATTGTACGGATGATGCAATAATAGTGTTGGAAAAATTATATTACGCTTCCTTGAAGCTAGGACTAACGATTAATAACAAGACGCAAATAAGGACTAATCTGGTGATAAATCGAATATTGCTGTCGTATAAGTACTTACTACATGAAATTCGGTTATTCAGAGATAACCAGACATGTGAGCTCCTATGTCACATAGGATTAGTCTGGGCAGAGCTAAACTATGTATTTAAATCGAACCTACCCATCTGCCTAAAAAGGAAAATCTTTGACAAATGTGTCTTAAGGACCATTCGCTTATACTTACTATTGCAGACTTCTTCCATTGAAAAAAGAAGAATTATTCTAAATAGTGAAAGTGTATACTAAACTTATAAAATCTTCCCTGTATATTTAATATATAATATATGAGTTGTTACAATTTACCATATTGTAGTAAATATTTGTATTATTCGCGTTATTTATTTTAGTTAATATAGTTTTACTGTTCTATTATTTTTGTTTAATTCTTTGTTAGTTCTATTTTGTACTTTATTATTAGGAATAGTCAAAGTTTTTCATTTGTCCTATCAGATAAAGCGTTGGTAAGTTTTTCTTAAATAAATATGATAAATGTTCTTTAAAAGTTAATATTTTTAGATGAGTAAAGATGCTGTTAAATTACAAGGTTATCAAACTGCACTTATAAATTTAAGCATGTATAAAGAAAGTAAGTTTCTATTATATATAAAAAAATATTTGCGCCACTGTTTCGACTGTTCTTTGGTTTCCGGTATGTAATACTGCACCCAGCTTTCATCAAAGGTGATAAATCGGCAAAAAAAATTGTTCGAATAACTCCGTACCATCGCCAAAAGCGTCTCCAAAGTGGTCACACGTTTTTGCATTTGATTGATTGTCAGAAAACGCGGCACCCATCGTGCGGATAGCTTTTTCATGTCCAAATGATGGTAAATGATGTTGTGTACGCGTTCGTAGGAAATGTTTAGGACCTCTATTAACTCGGGGAGCTTAATTAGACGATCTGCCATAATCATGTCATGAATTTTGTCGATCATTTCCGGCGTGGTCACTTCATTTGCCCTCCCGGGACGCTCATTATCAAAAACACTCGTACAACCACGAACAAATTCAGCTTTCCAAAATTTTACTGCTGCTAACGAAGGTGCAATCTCACCATAAACTTCGTCCAGGTCGGTTTTAATTTGTACATTCCTTTTACTTTTTTTGTGGAGGAACTTAATCACCGAACGATACTCGACTTTTTCCATTTCTCCGAAAACACAAAATTTGCTTGCTTTTGACAGCTGTAAAAACCAAACTAATTGTTTTTAAAACTTAAAATTTTAACAGACGTCATGTCATGAATGGCAAATGTCAACACCGAAACCAATTCGGTATCAAGTAGCGCCATCTATCAAAGGCTAGTTTAATATCAATCTATCCTCGTACGTCTTAGAACAAAAACAACAGACGCTATGGAAAAAAATGGCACCGCTAAAGTAAAATTAGACAGGACACGCCGCCAGATTATCAGGCATCTGATGGACAAAACGTATTGTCGAGTGGAGACCAAGACAAGAGGCATTAGAGAGCAGAGGACGTCCAATAACCCGATGGACTGACGACCTCAAGCGTGTTAGCGGTAACTGGATGCAAGCCGAACAAGACAGAGACAGATGGAAGAGCTGATTGAGACCTATGTCCAGCAGTGGACGCATACAAGTTGATGTTGATACAATATGTATATATTATTAACACTATCAGTCGACGCATACGCAAGAAACTGACACTGGCCATGTCAAACCAGTACCGTTGCGCGCTAGCTGTTTTACTTTATCTTTGATACCTTGCGTTTTTAACACAGGTGGCAAAGTTAATTTGCGACCATTTTTTCTAAGGTAACCTTATTTATACTTGACAAAAAAAACATACATATACGTCACGAGCATCGTAATTTATTTAAAAAATAAATGAACGAAATTTTTGTTCAAAAATTAATTACCATTAATTTAACTAAAACTATTTGCGGCCACTTTTTGACTGGAAACCTGTTATAAATGTATTCTCCTATTCTTAAATGTATTTACAAATTTGAGTTTGATTAACTATGTTATAAACGTAGTGATTTTGCTGTGGGATCTTAGACTATTTATAAAACAGACTATGAAAATGGCAGTTTTGTAGGATTTGCTCATAATGATGTCTTATCTCAGTCACAATCAATTCAAATTTTTTTAATATTTTCAATTTTTGGAAATATGAAGGAAGTTGTATTAATTCAATCCTCAAAAATATTAGTGGAGATGAAGTACATAAAATGATTATGCCTATTTTAAAATTTGAGTAAAACATAACTTTAAAATAATATGTATAGTAACAGATACCATTATTCTCAATCAAACTATGTTTCAAAATTAAGAGCAAATTCAACCAACAAACATTATTTTAATTTAAATATGG